ATATCGAAATCAAAGGAAAAAAAATGTCAAACATTATGATTTTTTAATCAAAATTTTATATTTAGTTAATTATTTCTTATTTTTTAAATATATTTCCTTCTTTGGAATTTTTTTTCTTTCTTTATGCATAAATTATTCTGAAATAAAAAATATATAATGAAATAAAACACAAGTTTCAATTAATCAAAAATTCAAAAACAAATATATGTGTGTGTATTTGATTTTTTTCCCCCCCATAAGATTGTATCAAAAAAATAAAACAACAATTAATGTAAAAAAATTGTAAAAATTTTAAAATAATTTTTTTCTCTTTATTGAATATCGATGAGAAGATAATTTTTAAAAGTATATGTATATATTATTTTAATCATTTTATCTAAGGAAAGTTGATTTTAAAATATCCAAAAAATAAAAATAAAAAATAGTACATTTTAAGTTTTTTGTGTGTATAACACAGTCAATTTTTAATATAAAATACCTATATAAAAAAGAGGGAAATAATGGGTTTTATTTTTTTCATTATTAACATATGTTTTTTTAGTTTTAAGTCATACATGCTTGGTCTCGGTATATAGGCTTCATAAGTATAACAATCAATTATCTACTTTTTTTTTCACTTCTTAATTTTAATCATTACTCTAAAACTTAAAATTATCCTAAATAAAAAAAGCCAAATCAAATTAAAAAATTAAAGTGAATCTATCGAGGTATCAATCTCTTTCTTTTTATCATTTCATAACTTGAGATCACTATAAACAAACCCCGAGTACTTTTTAAGGTGAACAAATGGAAACCAAAATCGACAGATCAAAGTGACCATAATAGATTTCACCGTTGTATTCTTTCTATTTCCGTTTCTCTCTTGGTTTCTCTCGTATGTCTAGAGATCAAACAACGAGTACAAATAAAGGTGCAAATCAAAACAAAAGGCTTTTTTAAAAAAAGATGAAAGTGCGCTATTCGTTAAAAATTCATATAAAATGCTTGAATGAAAGTTGAAATTCACAGTAATATCATCACAAATGCAAGAATAAAATGCAAAAATATAATAATATCAAGTGAATAGTGCACATAAGAAAATTACAACAATGCCAAGTAAATAATGCATATGATCTGTAGATGAATAGTAATTAAATGGTAAACAATCCATTTCTTTTACCTTTTTTTTTTATATGTTATGTTTAGCAAAGCATGATTTATAGTAACTTTTTTTTATAAGGGAAGATAGGTTTTTTTTTTTTTTTTTTTTTAATTGTTTGGGGTATTCTTGATGAAACTACCTTGTGCATCAACCAAAATTAAGTTTTTTTTTTTCCCAAATAATTTTAAAGGTACACTTCTACATTTATCTGATACATTTAGAAGAATAATTTTTTTAAATGTTATTTCAAGGTTCGAATTTAAGAAGTCAAGAAAGAGTGAAACTTTTTTGACCAGTAGACATTCCTCTCAAAACAGTACATGTTGGAATCAATAAAGTAAAAATTAAAATAAAAATCATAAAAGCACAATTTTTTTTTTTTTATTTCAGTCAAAGTTTATATTTAACTAAATATATTTATAATATTTCTTTTACTCAAAAACTGAAGAAAAAAAATCAAACCAAAATTTCTAAAACATAACAAACAAAATCTTAATCAAGTTGTTGGTGGTGTATATAATGATGTTCTGAGTGTTATTGCATGTTTATTGTTCTATTGTATATAAAAAAAATCAGTGGTTATCTTAGGTTATATCTGGCATGATTTTTATAAATTGATTTTAATAATTTTTAAACTTTTGACTCAAAGAAATGTCATAAGTGTATTTGGTTGGAAGTAACTTTTAATTTAAATAAAAAGTTTGTTATGAAATTGAGACAAAATTTACTTTAGTTTAAAAGCTAAAATTTTTAACTCATCATGGATTCTAATTTACATTGCATTTTTTTTATTAAAAAAAGGTTGCTTTGAGCCCTTTTTAACAAATATACTTCTAATTTAAAGTTATTTTAACTCATTTTCGTAATAAATTATCATAAAAAATAATTTGTGAATTAGGACTCCAACTCAAAAGTTATAATTCAAAAAGTTGTGCCAAAACGAACTCTTAATCAATCAATAATAAATTACATATCAACGTATAATCACTTGTGATTCTTGGAGAAACATTGTCACGAATGCAATTAAGCTTAATTATATCATACAACAAGTACAAAAAGAAAAGATGCACCGGAAAACCATATAATATTATGAGAAATACTTATTGGAATTGTTCTTTACGAGATTCACCTGGATTTTATAATAGACGGTAGCTTTTCATTTCTTAATCCCTTTCATCCTTAATTAATTTCAAATCTCTTTGTATCGGCCAAAAACCCCCCAGATCCACTTTATTGATACGTGGGCAGATTTCAATCAAATTTAACGTTTGATTTGAATGGAAGTGGATAAAAGGTCCACTTCACAAAAAATACGAAAGACAAGGGTTTGGAGAAACGAATTAAACCGATAAGGGGCTGGATTAATAAATTTACAATAGTAGAGGGACCCATGAGGTCATCTTCAAATCAGGATCCCTTTCTTAAACTAAAATCAAAGAAAACCTAGCCTTACATGGCTGTCTAGTGGGAAGTGGGAACTAGTTGGAGTGCAATTTTCATCCCTTTGATTGCATGGGAAAATGTTTCATTCACCGGCATATCGCCTATGCCAAAGTTTCAACTATGGGATGTTTGTTGTTTCCATAACAATAAGAAAATTTGTGTTGTTTTTTTTCAGATCTTCTTTATTGGGATTTTAAAGTTCAGTTAAAATTACATGTGTGGAGTGTTTCTTTTGGGAACACTCTAGGAATTGATGCATCTCATGTCTCTCGTTAGGTCCCAAGCCTGCCTGCCTCCGTACGTGAACCCACCTACATTTAGCTTTTGCTGTTTAATTTACCCAAATCTATTAGTAATTAAATTGTCATTACTGAGTAGAATTCAGTTTGGGATAATTTCACATAAAGATCATGAAATGGGATATAAAGATCTATAGCACTGTCTTTGATTTGCTTTGACATGTCAAAATGACTATAAAAACAAGAAACGACTTGGTCAACCATCTTTAAAGGCATGATTAAATAATAAGCGACCTTTAGTTCATGCATTTTGACTTTTGTCGGTGGGAGTTTTCTGAGTATGAATCCAAGTTGTAAGGGCAACGAATTTTGTTTAGTGCAGAGTGACCGTCATAAATTAATTCTTCACCATATATAAATAATTATTTCACGAAACAAATTCACATTCATGTTCACATGATAAATTGAAAATGTCTGAATCAATTTTCCTATTTTTCTATATTAATGTTAGTAATTTTTTTTAATTATCTCCAAATTTCTATTGATCCCACACACAAGTATGATCTTGTATAGGGAATCGATCAAAATAAGAAATTTGGCAAACGGAGATAATTTGTCAAAGTTTGGAATCGTATTGCAAACTTCAAACTCCACTGAAGCTTGCATTTGTCATGAGACGCATTACGTGCAATTAAATTTCTGTTCAGTGTTCACCTTGACTTTTTTTTTTTCCACCTGTAATTAACAACTCTTGAATTCTTGTGTAAAAATTTTAAAAATGTCCCTCTTAATTTAATTAGACATTAATTTGTGATTGGTCTATCGGATCAGCGACGTCAAATTAACTAGGACCCGCCAAAGTTTTTTTTTTTTTTTCCAGGTACGACTAGCCAAAGTTTCTAAAATGTAGTCAAATCACAGAAAAACATTAAATCCCCTCATTCACTGCGAAGATAAAGAAATTCATTGCTTGGGACCAAAATACCAAATACCATGTGGGGGAAGAATTCCAAACATTGATTGTAACCGCAGCAACTGATGATAAACAAGCCGCCCCTCATTTATGAAGAAATCAACTACCATATCTCACAAATATGCTTGTACCTTGCTTGCTTGCTTGCCCATATATCACGAACCTTAATTCTTTGTTTTTTTTTTCTTGTTGAATAGCACTATATCCTTCAATTAAAACCCTTGAAGTTATAAATTCATAGTTATAGAAATTAATTAATTTACTTACATGAAAATGAACAAGAAATCATCTGTCCATATTCTTATAAGTAGGTGGAATTATATCTTGCCACTATCTAAACAAACGCACTGCATTTACAAGTTACAACCATATATCCATAATCAATCCAATACGTTTCATCTAAATGGCATACGCTTGCATGTTTGCATTGCATGCAATGGATCATGACACTCGCAGAAGATCTTGGTTTGCAATTAATGTTTGTATATGTGCTGGTGCTCCCTGGTGATCAGAAGAATCTTTGATTATAGCCACGTTTTTTTTTCACATGTCAATAATTATCAAGCTACTACACCAAACCAAAGAACCTCAGTGATTACGTAAATGATGAAGACATTAATTGATCAATGCCTGAGTAAATATATATATTAGTGAATTAGTGACCATGGATGACCTAGGATAATATTTATTTAGTATGAATTAATTGTACATTTAAATTACAGCACCAAACTAATCTAACACTAGCTGACGAAAAATAAGTTGGTGCAATATTACCCTGCGCAGGAGATGCTTGCATCAAAATGTTTTAAAAGAAAACCATTATTTATAATAATTTTGACATAAAAGAAGAAGAAGAATAAGAAGAGGAATGGCCAGCCATGATCATGACATTATAACAGTTAGTGATGCAAATTAACATTTTGATGTACATCAACTAATTAAAAACATAGCGGCTCTCTTGCCAGTACAGTAAGTCTAGCAGCCTGTGCCATGTAATCTAATATATGATGTCATAGCTATGCAGATCAGGCAGCGATAATTAGAACCCTAGGGTTCTCATCATCAGAACTCCCTCTGACTTCATATTCTTCATTGCTCTATATAGAGCACTTAAAATTTTTTGGTTGACGCCCTAAATTAAGGATTAGAGAGACAAGAAGAGAAATAGGTTTACAAGATAAGCTAAAAAAATGGGCGTAAGTGTTCAGTTATGGGAAGGAGGGTGTGTCTTCGGTGGAGAATAATCCAAGTTGAAACCAGGATGTCTTTCACCACGTTTCTTTTGAGGCACACGCCAAGAAACTGAAACAAGAGACTCTTTTTTAGCAGCACCTGAGTTTTTTACTTTCACATCAGTTGTTAACTTCGGCTTGGCTTTTGAGTCCTTCAGCTTTTGAGCATTATCATCCAACTGATCAGTCTTTGCAATGCTATGATCTTCTTTTGCCACTCCTAATTCATTTGATGAGGAGGACTTCACTTTGGGTTCTGTAGTAACTGAAATCTCCTTCTGATTATTCTGTACAAAAACCCAGTAAGTGTTATTAAAAATATCTACCATGTTATGCCAAGCAAATGAAATTAGAAAAGAAAAAAGAAAAGAAAAACCAGCAACAGTATGCACCAACCTGATTGGAAATGATGTGAAATTTCCTCTCAAGCTTCTTATCAATGTCAGCAAGTGGCCTGGCATTACATGCATGCAACGAAAGGCATAAAAGTGAAAGAAGAAAATAGCAAGAATATGTGATCACTGACATATTAAGGAAAACAAGCTTTAGCTAGCTAGAGAAAGTGTTTAAGGTTTGAAAAATATAAAAAGCGTCCTTGGAGAGTTGGTGAGTAGTAGTGGTAGTGGTTAGGTAGTACCAATGGTGGTATTTGTTGGTATTTGTAGGAAGAGCATTAAATGAAAGTATCTTAGGAGATTAAAGCCTTCGTATTGCAGAACATGCAAATGTATGGGTGAGGGAAAAAGGAAGGAGAATGAAGATATGGTTGGTTTTTTTGTCCGTTCTCTTTCACAATTTAATCAATTGGGTCTCAGGACATAGTCCCCACCAGAGGAAGAGAAGAAGTTTAGAGCCATTACTATAGATATATGGGGGAGAGAAGAAGAGAGAGTCCAAAAGAGAGATTTTCGTAAGAAAATATAATATCACAAAATATATAATTAAGTAGCAAATGGAAGTCGTAGAATATGCAATGTTAAATTAACATTAAAAAAATTCGAGAAAGTGCACCCCTCATTGTTTCTACCAAAGAACTCCATTCTTTGTCTTTGTGTTATAAATCTTCACTCTTTGCATAGTTTCTGCCTCCTTGTTTCTTGCCCTTGCCTGCCTTTTTTTCACCTTGGAAAACTTATGATCAATATTTTATGAGTCGTACATTATTGTATTATTATTGAAAAGTAGGTTGCCTTTTTAGCTTTATGTTTGTTATATTTTCTCTCCTTGTGTTTCAATCTTTGTACTATACTTTATACAATATACCTCAATAAGAAGGGTAAAAAAAGGAAGTAAAAACAGGATAGAGGCACCAAACACGCATAACATTGTTTGATGCACGCATCCTTTTTTGAATGATCAAGTATCAATAAAATTTGAAGTACCATATTTTATATAGTATAATTGAATCCTTGAAAGTCTTGGTAAATGCAATGTCACTTTGATACATCTTACATGTCTTTTCTAAAGTTTTTCATTAAAAAATAGGTGGACACCGATAGTCTTTCCACATTTATCTTTAACATTCTTCTATAACTGGTGTGATTTCACGCATATTTTTGTTGTTGAGAAATATTGAAATGGTCCAAACATGATCTAATTCATAACCAATAAGTCATATATATTGGCTTCTATTTTATGAAATAGGTAAAGACTTTGTTTTATCTGAATATCAAAAATTGACATAAACAAAATTCCCTTATTTATGCGCTTAGAACTTAGAAAGTCCATTTAATTTCAGAGAGCTATAATTGTAAATGTGTGCATTTTGTTAAACAATTCAATTTGAGGAAAAAAGTATATATCTCATGATTTTTTATTATGATGAATTAGAATCAGCAAGATGTAAATTTTTAGGGAATTTGATTAGGATATGGTATTTTTCATATCAAAAGCAAATTTTCTGTCCATCAAAGCTTAACATATACCAACATATGAAAGCATTTAGATCTGGATTTGTGCATTGAAGATAAATTTCTTAAGCAGATTTATTTGAATTAAAACAGTTTAATGGATTGATCAACGATCGGTTGCTGATAGCCACAAGATCAGCCAAACATAGGTGGGACCTGCGAAACTTAGGGACACAAGGAGAAAGAGAGAGAGAGACAGGAGGGGGACAATGGGGCATGAACCCGCCTCTTCTATGTTCCTTTCACAAGGAACAAAGAAGAGTGTCCTTAACCGTCAATACCGGCCATACGCGACACGTGGCAAACACCCACATGAATCGTTCATTTGCCACGTGGATATGGTCCCCGGCACCTGTGGCCGCCAAAAGTTAGCCCATGTTGAATGACCCAATTGGTCCCAGAAAACAAACCATAGGTCAGGCGTGGGAATTGTCATCGCTCAGGCCCAAGGATAACCATTGATCTCTTAAGACAAAATTTAGAAATGAGAAAAAGATTTTGAATCGTGGAAAATGGAAATGTTTTGAACACACTAAAATGGTTTATAGCATTTTTCTTCCATTCATTTAGACTAGTTTTTAACACACCAAAATGACTGTCAAAGTCCCGATTATTAAACCAATAAACTGCATGAAGTTTACTTGTGTAAGTTGTGCGGACAGTGGACTAAATGCTTGTCCTAGATTCATTTCCTATTTTGGTCCAAAATTGGGCATATGGTGTTATGGATGTATTTCCAACATTTAGTAAAACTTGCAAATTGTCTGAATGTCTTAATTATTCGATAAAAATCAATAAATTAGATTGGATTGCAGAAAAGAAGATAAGGTCTATTTCTCATAATATTTGAGATTTGAATTTAATAAAAAGTTATTGGATAATTTTAATATACAAAAAATGATCGTGTTTGTTTTTTCAAAAAAAGTATTAAAACGAGAAGGAAGAAGAGGAGCATAAACTCAATCTGACTAGACTCTCCTGTTTGTTTGTATGTTGGTTTTGGCAAATTGTAGCTTCCCCATATATTGTATGCATTTGATGGCCTCATGTGGAGTGTCTATGTTGAATGTGATCGACGGCGCGACAGGCTCGGCTATCAAAAATGGCTAGGGATTCGGGCTTGGCGTTGACAACCAGCTCAACTGGTGGTGTCTTGTAAAAGCAGAGCAGTCTCGGTCGGCTCGCTCCGTTGTCCCCACGGCATTCTCACTCAATCTGCGCATCATCGGCTTACCTAAGTGAAAGGCGGTCCAATATCTCTGAGAATTAATGTCAGAGTTAGTTGGGTAAGACTTAAAGAGGACGATGTCGGTTATAGAAGTTAATACTAGCAGTAGTTTGTAGGTGGAAACTTGCAACAGAAACTGTCCGATTTGACCCCTCTATATATCTGAAGCTCAAATGCCCCATGATCTCCGTCGTTGGCAGTCAAGGTAAATGAATCCATACTCAAGGTGAATCTCTGTGGACTTTTAGGCTAGGTTGGTGAGAATTTACTCCTTTCATTCCTGTAATTTAGTGATAAAATAAGTGTTCTTCTAAATATATTGTTTTAGTTATGACTTGCTTATTTAAAATTTGAATCAAAATGGGCTTTGTTTAGCTATTTCTGTGAAAAATATCTCATCCACTAAAATCAAGGAAAAAAAAGTTACGTCAACAAAAACTCATTTTAGACATACTGTATTCGTAAACAAGAGTAAAAAAATGGCTAGTGATAAAACTTGAAATCTCATATCAATGAGGCTTCAAATTTAATATTCTAACTTTTTTTTCTTTTTTATGGCATTCACAAGATCAAATATTTGCATTTTCAATATATGGAATCCGAAGAGTCATACATCGAGATTTATAGTTTAAAACAAATCAATTAAAAATGATTGAAATTTGAGGTTCTTTAACAGACACTTCATAGACTCGGTTTTAAAAAATAATTTTTTTTTCAATTATATATTGTTGATTTTATCTAATGCATGAAGGATTAATTCAATTTACCTATATATTTCTTCTAAAGCTTTAATTACGAATCAATTAAACTAGGGAACAAAGTGTTTTCAATTCCTTGAAAAACTTATGAAATTTAATCAAAAGAACCCTTTTGAAATGGTATGAACTTTCAATAAAAACGAGACGATCCATCATTTATATTTTAAAAAAATAAGATACAATTTCAAATTTTTTTTTTTTTAGTATTAATGTTTAGATTAAAAAAAAATAGATAAAATAATTTGAAATTGGAAGGAAAAAAAGTCAAATTAGGATTGCCATACGAGACTAGAACCTTATATCTTTCAAATCTTATGTACAAAGCTAAGCAACTTCTAAATCTTCGTATCGTTACAGAGGCATAACACCAAGCAATTGCGTACTCAATAAAACCAATTTGGATACCAAGGACAAAGCTAAACAACCATTTCTCAAAAATATACCCCATACTCCCTTTTTCCCATTTTGTTACTCACCACATTCAGTTTACTGTAATATTTCTAGGCAAGCTTCAAGATTAACTCCAAAGTAAACCAAGACACTTGATACACAATGGTGTGGAGGTGAAAACTAGAAATCGCTTCACAGACAAGACGCAACCAAGGAAAAGAAATCATGTTTTGAAATTTTTAATTACATTTAGTAGTTGATATCATTTCAATTGCAGAAAAGCTATACACAACATATAAACTGTACAAGAAAGACAACAACATCATAAATCATAGGCATAATACCAGGACAGTTCAAGTCCCAGGAAACGTGATATAGATTTTTAACTTGTCAATTTGCAATGACAGAGAACGGAAGATACTGAAAGAACTTGGTTATGGCAACATCTTTCATCCAAATGTATTTTCCCCGCTGTACGTAACGTAGAGAAATCCATCTTCATCCTTCTTTTCATCATAGATTGTGGACATTATTGCTCCTGCAAATATATTTGAATTACATGATTATTACTACCAAGAGTTTTTGAAAACTGTCAAAACACTTTTTGCCCGCTGTTCTAAAATTATCCACCATTATATAAACAAACTCATAGATTAAATAATATAGTTGCACTGCACATAAAATAATTTTGGCTAAACAAAGTTTCTACTGTCGTAGAAATAAGTGTTCATGCATCTGCATCCACGCTCCTTTCCAATGAGTAACCAAACTATTTAAATATAAATAAAAAAATAATGTGCTCATTAGATGCTTTAAGTTATAATTTAGCTTTGATTGAAAAAGAAATTACTTGACCCAAAATTTTTGATAAACTAGTTCAATTGGTTAATTTTAAAAGGAAAAGTTATTCCATATAGTAGAGATTCATCATCAGAAATTCATTCCAGTAGCCCTGTCCAAAAACTGTTTCCCAACCACAGCCATATACAAATATATATATACACACACACACATGTTTACACCGGCAAACCTAACTAGTTTGAGATTAGAGTTAATTCTGAGAAGCTCGTAGATGTATGCATATTTTATTAGGAGAGGTGATAGAGGGAGAGAGATTGCTACCAGTTGGTGGGAGAACATTGTCCACAAATATAAAAATTGCCTTTTCCGCACTCAGTTTAATTCTCTTCCGGATTACATAAACAAATTGACCTACTGTCAGGTCAGCCGGGACTAGGTATCTGCAAAATCCAAACAGGGTCAATATTATCCTTTGCACTTCAAAAATGTATAAATAAAACAGAAGTACAGGACAAAAACAACCATATGATGCAATTTGAATTCAAAGGGAAAAAAACCCATGAACTGAATTTTAGTAGGACAAGAAAGATGCATTACTCTCACTAACAATGCTAATGGAAGATGCATTACTCTCTCTAATAATACTAATGGAAGATGCATTACTCTCACTAACAACGCCAATGGAAGATAATGGATTACTCTCACTAACAATGCTAATGGAAGACCAGAACCATATGGGAACATGCATAACACCAAGGGAAAAGGCATTTGCAGTATGAAAGCGATTCTTACTTTTTCTTGTCAATGTTGGGAATATCGCTTCTCTCAGCCTTCTCCACAATTACCTAAAAGGTGCCAGAGTTAGTAAATAATGGAAGCTAAGTAGGATGAGAAAGGTGCCAAACGACACTGCTTATTGAAATTAGGTTATCCATTCTAGAATATATAGACTAAACATTAACACAATTTAAGCAAACAATATCACTCAGCATGCAAACCACAAATTTCAGCTCAATGCAACAATCAAGGCTCACACTATTACAACACAAAATCCCACATCAAAACAAATATAAAATGTACAAAATAAAGGCATGTCCTACCACCTAAACTGTTCCAAAATTCAAAAAGCTTCGTTCGGCAACAGAAATAAAAGCAAGACCTGGTGTTCTGCTCCCCGAAATAAACAACAATAAAATTTAAACAGTTCTTCATCATTATATAAGCCTGCAATCCGTTTACAGTAAAGCTTAAAACGTCAATGAAATTCCTAATTAAATCAAAGGCATTGGTTTTTATACCAAAATTCATAAATCGGCCTAGCCAACATTTATCGCCAACAATCACAAAATACAAAATGAAAAATTGATGCTCCAATGAATTGCTAAAAGCAAAAGCAACCATCATAAATCATCATGTCGAAGTGGCAAGAACAATTCAAGCCCAACCGACAACAAAAATAACACTCACTTCGTTAGATAACGAGTAATAATTTAACAAAAAAAAAATCCTCACCGGAATTCTGTCTGGGTATTTCTCCCTGATTCTCTTAGCTTCAGCCCTCCTCTTCTCTAAAGCCCAAAAAAATAAAAGACAGAAAATTAGGGTTTGTAGAACAAAATTAGGTTTCTTAATAATACAGAATAAGGTATTAAAAAAAAAATTTAACCAAAATCATGCTCTTGCTTGAAGCTGCTCTTAGTCATAATTTTTGTCAAGAATCCTGCAAACACAGAAAAATATCCGCTGATTAGAAGCTAAAATTGAATAAAAAGCATTGAAATATCAAAATCCAAGAACAAATTAAAATTTCTCGGCAACCAAACAGAAGGTAACGAAGACTTACACAGACAGAATTTATCCCCGAAGCGATCAATAGAGAGGATGAAGATTTGTTGAAAAGATTGAAGTGATGATTTTATTTATACAAAATTTCCACTCCTGTCCTGTTAATTTGTGTGAGGTATGGTAAAGTTACCAATGATAGATTTCCACGTCAATAAAATAAGAGGAGGTCCTATAGTTCTGAGTACGTGGTTTTTTGTGTTTGGTTAATTGGAAGAACTTGAGAGCCGATCACCGTAGAGAGGGAATGAGGGATAAAATAATGTGGCCAACTGTTTTCTTCCAGAACTACTAAGCGCTTACGTTTCCTTGTGATCCATTAAATTCAGGCCCAAACCTTCGTGACGAACTTATCCTAACGTGAGATGGCGTCCTCCTTTACTTTTGTACTTGTAGATGTCAGAACACATCAAACCTACTTAGTATGCTTTTAATCATTGACTTTTTTTATCCAACGGTAATTACGTTTTGGAGACAGTTTTGGTACCTTTCAAGATTAATTTTTTTCTAAACTTAATTAAAAACATTTCTCAATACATTGTCTAGATTATATCAAAAATAAAATTTGAGAAGTACTGTTTATAAAAATCAAATCCTAAACATAATATATAAATCAATATTTAATTACTAAGGGATGATTATTTTGTGGTTGATTTCAACAATGAGCAACAACGTAAGAATTGTGGCTCAATTCATATTAGTATTTATGTTTTTTTAAAGAAAAATGCTTTATGACACCATGGTGACAGATACCATTTCTAAAAATAGAAAAGAGATAAGAGTAAATTTAAAATGTAAAAATATTAAATGACATAATAGTAATTGAAATAAAATATGCTTCTTTGTATTCTCTTATGGTGACTTTTTTTTTGACACAACTGATGTTATATAGCACTACTTTTTATAAAATGTTTTGAATTTAAATTACTATATATATATATATATATATATATATATATATATATGAATCACAGTAGTTTAAATTTTACACGTGGATTTTTTTTTTTTGAAAAGAAAACATTTATTGCTTATTAGAGCGTGAAAATTCGTACAAGTTTGAAACACAGATATGTGAATAACAGTCTCGAGGCAACATAATTATCGACTGCTTTCAAGTGATTGGTTCATGTGGTAGATAAAATACTTATTTAATTTGCAGTTTCAAATACAAGTTTTATCCTTATTTTCTTTATATATATATATATACACACACATAACAAAGGGACATATTTACATTAAATTGGCGCCTTGGCTATTAAAAAAAAAAACAATGAGATATGTCTATACATATGTTGATGTGAAAAGTATAATGTTTGTCCTGTGTATCCAATTAAATTATTTGTATCATTTTTTTCAAAAAACTTTCGATGAGCCCAATATTCTTAGGTAAAAAAAGAATTAATTTAATAATATAATTTACTTTTAAATTATTGATGCTATGGTAAAATAAGGTTTATATTATTAATTTAGATTATTTAGACCTCAAACTATTAATTTTGATCAAAACAATGTCTTTTTAAGCATTTTAGGTTTTTATTTTTGAAGAATTAAAATTAATTTTGAAAATATATATTTAATAATTCAATTTTTTTATTAGATGGATCCATTACACATAATTGATTATTCAATACCAAAAGTCAAATTTATAAATAACAAAATCACCTAAACTTTCTTAAAACTAGCTATTGTTAAATATTTTTAAATTAATTTTTTTTTTAATAATGAGTCGGTTCTTTTTTTTAAAAAAAAAATAGATCTATCACACATCTTTAATTATCCTATAACAAAATTTAGATCCATAAATAATAAAATCATTTAATTTTTTTATCATCCTCCTTAATTAAAATACTTAAAACAATATCATTTTAAATATTCTAATTAATAAATTAATATTTTGATCATCAAATGAATAAAACTTATTGAGAAAAAAAATCGTCTGAAATCTAAATAGTTCAAAATAATAATATAAACTTTATCTTGCAACCATCGCAATTGATTGACTGAGGGTCCATCGTACCATTAAAAAAAAAAAAGACTGCATTGAAGTTGTAATTTAAGCTGTAGGCTAACCATCCCGAAGCAATTAAAGCTGGAAGCTTTTAAAGATAGTTTTTACCTTTTTTTTTTTTTTTTTTTTTTTTTGTGATAACTAAGGATGTTCGGGTCAGCTTGTGCGTATCTCAATTAATCTCCGGGCCCACTGAACATCTTGCAAGCCCAATAAATAGGTAAGATATCGCATGAGTGACGGATGTGTGTAGAGAGAATCGAACTCGAATGTCATCGGTGAGCGATCCTCGACTTCACTTGCTAGGCTAAGACCTCAAGCATAGATAGTTTACTTTTTAATAATACGAGTGTCTCCTGTTGTCAAATCACAAGAACGATTAAGATCTGAGCAATCACACAAAGTAATCTTTTTGTGAGTCCATGCGATCATGCCATTTATTCAGGAAGAGGTTCCAAGAGAGACATACCAAACAGAGCAATTGGAAGTTGATGGAATTAGATCATGTCAGTTTCATGATTAAAAAAAATCAGCTGTTGAACACAGCTGAATTGAAATTTACAATACAACTAAACAGTTGAGGTTTTTTAACGGTAAAATCACCTTCGTTTTAATAGTATATAGTTTTTTTTTAATTTTTTAATTATTTCATTTTGATCGTTAAAATTTTAAAATAAAAATATTAATCCTACACTACAAATGCCTCTTTTTTTTCATTAGTTTTTTCCGTTGCTTTTTTTTTTTTTGAACAATGCTTATGTTTTTTTAATAATTTTTAAATTATTTTATTTTGATCCCTAAATTTTAAAATAAATATCTCGGTCCCTTAACTCATGCACTACACATGCATTTTCTCTTTTTTTTCTTTAGTTTTTTCCATCAATTTATGTTCTTTTTTTATTTAATCGGATGTTAAAATTTTGAAAAATCAATTTTTTCTTTGCTTTTTTCCAACCAATTTATGTTCTTTTTATATTTTAAAATTAACATATACTTCGGCTTATATTACTCTTATCATTTACATTTATTCTTTGAATTTATTATTTTTTTATAAAAATTCTCATCAAATTAATATTTTTTATATGAAATTTTATTTAGTGATATTATATAATTTATTTTTCTCCATGTTTGAATTTTAGAATAACATTTTAAAACATGATTGTTTTTTCTTTTTTTTAAAATAAATTGGTATAATATATATCATGAATTCTTAGAATTTTTAAACGATAGTGGCAGAGATATAAATATATAATTATTTTTATTCTAAGAGGTTGAAAGCATATTTCAAATAATTTATTTCAGTTTACTAGATATGGTTAAGACGTATACAAAAATTATTAAATCATTTATTTTATTAAAAATTAATTATACATCCTCCGACATAATAGAAATTATTTACTATAAATATTTTTTGTATGTATTGTCAAGACATATAAATATTTTTTTAACATTATAGAACCAATTTATTTGAAATAAAATAATTAAAGTAATTTTTTAAAGGAACCAACCAATTATTCAAATACTATTTTTTATGCTAATTTTATTGATTGTTTTGTAAATAAATATTTATAGATCAAATGCATATACTTGGAAAAAAAAATCTTCTCATCAACATTAAATAAGAATAAAATTTTATTTTTTTTATCGGTTAATTTCTAAGCAAGTCTATACATTAATTGTAATTTTATTTTTTTGGACACATTCTTAACAAAAAATATAATTTTATAATTTTTTTTTAATTCTTAATTAATATTTCAGGTTTAAATTGTTACAAGTTTTTATTTAAGAATCCGTTAATAAAGAAGAATAAATTATGTTTTTTTTTTAAGTAGAAATGTTATGAAAAACACACAAAAAATAGTAATAATTAAATAAAAAATTAATGATAAAATTATAATATATTGAAATGATTTTGTTTTATTTACTTGTAACATTGCACGGATAATTTCAAAAATTAATTTTCTCATCAGCATTAAATAAGAATTTTTTTATGTAAAAGTTTGTCCATTAATTATAATTTTATTTTTTGAAAATAATATTGTAAAAATTATATTTTTAAAGTTTTTTTTCAATTCTTGGTTAATATTTTAGTTAAAATTATTAAAATTTTTAATTTTAAAATCAATCCATAAAAAAGAATGATTTATGTTTTTTTAATCAAAAAATTTATTTAAAAAATTAATTAAATAAAATATTATAATTAAAAAATTTTAAAATTTTAAAATAATTTTGTTTTATTGAATCTGTGGAGTAACAGCAACCTACTAGTGTCTAGCTAAAAGAACTGCAGCCTACACGGGAAGAAATATTTTTACTTGTATTCATTGCGAGGTTGCTCAACTCTTTCACTGCAAAATTGCTGAGCTTTTGTAGCAAAAGTCATCGTAATGGGAATTCTTTATGGACTTGTGAATGTGTCCACCATGGACCATGCACGAAGTCTAAATTTTAATCCCTTTTCCACTAGCTGGTTGTCTTTAAATCTAAAACAAAACAGCCCATGTATTATGAGTTTATTCTCAACCTTGCATCCTGCCCATGTATTATGAACCCAGGCCTAGTCTCTCGTGGAAGGGCTAACTGAGTTTGGTCCATACACAAGGCCGTGCCCAACTCATTTTGAGGCTTTTTTTTCCCGATAATTCAAAGGAGCGCAGCTTTCCAAGATTGCAGAGAAATTGAAATGAGTGATGAAGCATCGAGAGTTGAATTTTATTTACTTTAAAAAGCTATCGTATATAGAAACATCTATTTCGAATGTTTTATTTTTTTCAATCGTCTTATTTCTAATGTGTTAGGCTAGCTTTATAGCAAGAAGTGAGCATTTTTTTCTCAATACCTTAGAGCTCTTTT